TTCCAGCATGGCAAGACTATGTGCTGCCACGGTACTGCAAGTCTAGTTCCTTAATAGCTTTGCAAGTTTCCCAGTTCTAAGATGCACGTTACATTTTTCTAAGATGCACGTTACATTTAAGACATTTTCCTGTGAGACAATTACCAGTTGGCTCAGTGGTCTCCAAGCCACAGCAGTACAGCTGAACTCATCTACACTGCCTGAAGTAATTTTTCCATGCCAGCAGTTATTTTCTAATGCTCTCACTGCCTTTCCAGCCCCACCCCTTTTCTGGACAAAAATGCCTGTTTTTCAGTAATGAAAATTCCAGAGAAAGTCTGGAGTATTAGCTTTCCTTTGCAATCAGCATTTCTTAGCAGGAAGATGGCTGAGCTTTCTGACATACACTCATCATGTCACCAGTGTCCCCTCTCAGTGTCTGACAATTTGCTTTTGGTCACGGCCAGGTTTTCCATCAACACAGAAAGGAACGTGTCCTCGAACATGAGATTTCTCCAAACAAGGCTACCATCGGCAAGACTGTGATTTACATTAAGACAGACTTCCATAAAAGCAAGCTCAAAAATAAAACTATGAACAAACAGAGCAGCTTCAGCTTCATGTCTGTTCCATAGCTGCATCAGGAAAATATTCTGTACTACACCAAAAAAACAGGAATTAAAAATAGTTTAAAAACTGCAAATGTTTTTCTGGCTCCCATACTCTTGCCCTGCTCCTTTACCCAAAAGAGGAGACTAAAAGGTATAAGAATCAGACCATTTTGCTCCTAAGCAGGAGGATTTCACGTTGCTCAATACTACTACTCGGCACTACTTAGCTGTAGCCCCAGGGCAACATGCAAGGATTGAGTGCAAAGAACAGTATCTCTCTTGCAAAGCCTTCCATTCTGTCTTTCCCACTTGGCAGTTTTTCTGCAGACAGAGCAGCACAATGCAGTGTAAGATGAAGACCTGCCACTCTCCCGCCACAGTCACTTATAATCTAATTCAGATACTTGCCCCTGTAGACGTTTCCAAACCATGTCTACAGACTGCATTATTTTACCTAGAAACTTAACTACGTAACTCAGCTTGCCAATCATTAAGCCAGTCACATACAAAACCTTCCTCCAAAGGCTGCTGCTTCCTTTTTTCAGCTTTTAATTAAAAATATAACCTTACACAGGAACAGATCCTTCACACTTAGAGGCAAAAGGACTTCACTTAACTCAGTGAGAGTGGGACACTGGATTTGCTGCTGCATCTTCTGAAAAGGCAAGCACACTTGACACAGCTGAATTCCTCAAATACCATTAATACAGATTTCTATCATCTTAATTTGGCCCATAATATCTAGGCTTAAATTAGCAGCTTTGGAGAAATACAGAAAAATACCAACCAAAAGGGCAAAACAGCAATGATGTTTCAAAGTGTAGCTTTTTACAACCCAGCAGCAGACATGCTCGGGTGCTTCTGGCATTCTGACTGCCCCTTCAAGGAGGGGGCACTGCCTTAAGGGCACCAGACATTTAAAAAGCTATGTGGCCAGTGATCATTCCTCCTTCTTCCCGGTGGGGACAAAAACTGAAGCTCTCTTACTCGATTTGTCCATGCCCACACACATAGGCGTGATTCCTGCCAGCATCCAGGTAAAGCAGAGAGTTTCCTGCATATGTGCCTGCTACTCTCAGCAAGGCACAGGTCCCCTCCTCCCCCTCATCCAGTGAAACTGGCTGCAGTCCAAGCACTTTCCTCTCTTTCCTCGTGTTGTGCCACGACAGAGTGGCAGGCAAAGGTCTTATCCTCTGGGACTTGACACAACATTGCAATAAGAATCTGTTTCCCAGCATTTCCAATCTTCATCTGAAGCCTCTTTTAGTAGCTCTTATTAAACTGGACTAACAGCTAAGTTTGCAGACAATTATATACCACATCTGTACCAAATACAGCTCAGTGGTTTGACCAAAGTAAGGACAGGTACAAGACAAAAGCAGGAAACCAAGAACTAACTTTAAAATGCTGTGGAGAAGAAAGCTGTTCTTTGAGGAAGCTACCTCTGTATTTCTTTCTACCTTCCTTTTTGTTTCTCTTTTTAAAAAAATAATGCTGCCCATTACAGGAGTACTCATGGATCCTCCACTGAGAATAGGCTGGCAAATGGGTGTTTCACCTGGATTCCTCTGTGCTGCTGGGCAGTCAGCCATGAGAACAAAAGAAATCACTCATTTCCATTAGTGGCTGGCAATGAGACTGCATCCCCTTCTTCTGGATTTAGACTTCACTGTAGCCATTTGTGACTGCCAGGGCTTAATTACTGCAGTAACATGAAACTGCAAAATTTACAAAACCTAAGTGAGGCAGCAGCCAATGGCTGGACTGCAGGCACACCCAAGGGTGTGCCATCCCAAGGCTCAACTCCTGCCAGGGTGGAAACCCTCTGGAGAGAGGGCAACAGCAGGGCTGTGTGTGGCAGTGCAGCTGAGGAAGCACACAACCCCTCCGAAGTGCAGGCCCTCTCATTCTCCACCATAATCTTCTTAGGAGCTGAGAGAAATGACCTTCTTCACACCAATCTCCAAAAGCTAACTGAATGTTTGGATGACTTCCTATAAGGCAAGTCCCAGCCAGCTAAATACTCAAACCTGCAATAAGAGCTAGAAAGTCATGTTTCCAGCAAGGAAAATGGAGGTTTTGGGAAGAACACTGTAAGTTTAATTATCTGATTCAGACAGACCTACTTTTAAAGAAAAAAACAACACAGAACTGCAGGGTGCAAAGGTGAGCAGCACACACACCTCAGGCCCATTCCGAGGTTTCAAATCCCATGAGGATTTGAAAAGGAATGGGACAGAAGGAATACACAGGTCACTGCTGCATTAAGCAAGGGCTTGCCAGCATCTGCATCTTGGTGCTCCATTCTGGTCATCCTACCTCAAAAGGAATAGCAGTGAAATAAAAAGAATTCAGGTGATGGAAATACTTCACTGGGAAATTTCCATTTTATAAAGATTGAAAAAATAAGGTTGATTAACTTGAAGGTGAAACAAATAAAAGGAGACCTAATACAGGAATGCGAAAATTGCTGTAGAGGATTACACTGGGCACCAATAGCTAATTTATTCTTGTAATTCACAAGGAAGTAGTAAAAAATTTTGAATTTAAAATAGATGAAAAAGAATGCGCATAATTAAACTACACCTAACTAACCTGCAAAAATCACTGCTAAAAACATGACATGAGAATTGGAGGAGTACGAAAAACAACACAGAACTGCAGGGTGCAAAGGTGAGCAGCACACACACCTCAGGCCCATTCCGAGGTTTCAAATCCCATGAGGATTTGAAAAGGAATGGGACAGAAGGAATACACAGGTCACTGCTGCATTAAGCAAGGGCTTGCCAGCATCTGCATCTTGGTGCTCCATTCTGGTCATCCTACCTCAAAAGGAATAGCAGTGAAATAAAAAGAATTCAGGGTGATGGAAATACTTCACTGGGAAATTTCCATTTTATAAAGATTGAAAAAATAAGGTTGATTAACTTGAAGGTGAAACAAATAAAAGGAGACCTAATACAGGAATGCGAAAATTGCTGTAGAGGATTACACTGGGCACCAATAGCTAATTTATTCTTGTAATTCACAAGGAAGTAGTAAAAAATTTTGAATTTAAAATAGATGAAAAAGAATGCGCATAATTAAACTACACCTAACTAACCTGCAAAAATCACTGCTAAAAACATGACATGGAGAATTGGAGGAGTACGAAAAAAAAAAAAAGACTACCCAGGAGAGTAAGAATATTCAGTTGGCCAGGAAGTACCTACAAGACACTGCTGGAAAGCAGGATTCTGTTAGAAAAGTCAGATACCACACAGGATGAATTTTCGAGATGATGGCTGACACATACATAATTTGAAGACAGCAACTAAACTACAGACACATCATTTGGATTAGAAACTACGTACATTGAAAATTCCTACAAATATCCAACAATGTCTTCTGAGACAGCCTTTGTACATTGGTTTCCAAAAGTAAGATATTCTTTGTATTTTCATCTGGAATTGGACACAGCATTACATATTTATCAATCTATCTCTCCGGTGACATCTTTGAATGTAAATAACTCAGTGGAAAAAGAGAAGAAAAAGAAACTATTCACTGATTTCCTAAATGCCAGCACTAATTCACAATAAGTAATCTCTTTGTTGTTGTAAACAGCTATTTTTGCTTTGCTTTTACAAATTATCATCATGCTTGGAGGACCAAGAAGTGGACTGGGTAATTCCTCTAAGTTCTTTTCCAGCCCTCTAATTCTGCAGGGGTAATATTGTGTGTTTTTGTTTTTCCTCTCACTGCTTTCCACTATCACTTCTAGCACCCTCTCACTCCCCTTTCTGGCTTGCTAAATTCTTACACTTTGCTATTAGAATTCCCATGGAAATGGGACTGAAATCTCTAAAATGCTTCCTTTTTCTCATGCCTCACTGGTTTCAGACTAGAATTACTCTTCATTGAGCTGATAAGGATTAAAAATAATTTTTAAAAAGGCCTCAGAAAATTCACTCCCATTTCCACACTGTTCCTAACTGGAATAGGAATGCTAGTCAGATGGTCTTTGCAGCTACAGCGAGGCTTCAGTAGCTGTGGCTGCTGTGCTGGAGGCTTTCAACAGCAGTACTCTGTCAATGCCAGCTAGGATTATATCACTCTAAACCTAGTCATCTGTGCCCTGCTATGGCCTGTTAACAGCTCTTGCAGGTCTAGCTTCCTCAATGTCACGCTTTCTACCACTGAATCACGACTCTTTCTGATGTGTTCAATGAGGATGTTTTTTTTTAAAAAAAAAATTAAAGTCCAAATTAATAGTACAGTTATAAAAGATGGCACTGAATTAGCAGCAAAAGATAACAAGACAAAATTGCTAAATAATCTCATGTTGGAGCCAGACATCACCTGTGAGCAGATTTCCCTTCCCATTGGAGGGAGGGTGCTGCAGTGTGTGTATAAGGCTGGATGCCATACCTGGGTAAGGATGCATACTGCCTTTCCATCCCCTCGAAATGGAGATTGTAGGAGCTCCCATCTGGACCTTTTCCAGGCACCTGTGGAGAGGAGAGTAATTAGAGATGAAGATCAATTATGCAGCCCAGCTACTAACAATGCATCTCAGAACGATAAGCAGAGAGCACATGATGCTGCAACATGCCAAAATCAACAAAAGAAAGGCAGGGGGTCAAAGAAGCTTCAAATCCCATACATAATCTTATCACTGCTAAAAAGAAAGGCTTCTGTGTTAAAGAATTCTTTAGAACAGGTACAATCTTCAGAGCCTTTTCCTCAGCTGTATGTTAGCTGGGATACTCTCATTCCTTCCCTGGCTGGCCTTCCTCCTAGAATTCAGTAATATGAGGACATAATCTAATTAATTAAGCACAGCCCCTCTGATTCTAGTGGCATAATTACTTCAAGCAAAACTAGCATCTTAATACCAACTTTGTGAGTTTTTTTCTCTACTTGTATATTTTGCTCAAGTATAAAGCATTATATAAACAGGCTTTGCTTTCATTCTTAGCACAAATCCAGAAACTTTCCCTAATGCCACTGCAAAGCTAAGTATCCAGCTGGGAGTTAAGTGCATTTGTCATGCTCTGGTGCCATTTCAGAAGTGGAGCATTAGTGCACTCACTCAAAATGCCACCTCGCTACTTGGTTTGTTTTCAAGATGGCAACTGGAGTTGGCTGGAGAGCACAATTCTATCAGGAAGGCTCCAACTGGGGTACAAAATGGTGAACTTCAATGCTTTTAGCACACAGGAGCTCTCCCAATTTCACTCACTCAATGCCTCCTGATGGCCCAAAGTGTTAAGAGCCTTGTTAAAATGGAGCTATTAGTCTTTTCCTCCATAAATGCAGGAGGCTCTGACTGCCTTCAGTGTTTCCTACATTAGTACATATTCCTATTCCACTGCTGCTAGAATCAGCAGTTTTATAAAGCAATATACTAAGAGGCCATTTAAAATCCCCATCCTCTTTTACAGATTAATAGTGGAAAGGAAGATTTAATGCCTTTTCAAACATTTTTAACAATTCATTAAGAAGAAAAGAATAAATCACACCAGGCTTTCAGCAAATGTCTGATTATAAAAAGAGAAAACAAACAAACTTAACATTTTTTTCACATTCGACAGGTTAAAGTACATTTCTGTCAGTCCTACAGTTTATGCACAATATGTCATTTTCACTGAAAAGATGTAAAAGCTTCGACAATGGGAAAGGTTGTGTGCTCGGGTGTAGCAGGTCTTATCTACCTTTACATGGCATTCCTATATGCAATTTCGTGTGGAACCATTACATAAGCCAAGTCCAATGCAAAAAGAGGCACTATTCCTTGGAGCTACTAGGCAAGCTTAATAATTATTCTACAGAAATACTGTATGCACCTTGCTACTCACTGAACATCCAAGAAAGTCGTAAGGGAAAAAAAAAATCATTTAGCACAGACTTGTTGCTAACTCTCCTTCATCTGACTCAAAACAGAAGAGTTCTCACAGCCACAAGAAATACCCACCTCTGATTTGAAACGACCCATGCTTCAGCAGTGCCTCATTTTGGACAAGCAAAAAGTAACTATTATTGTCCTACATTTCAAAAAGAGGGCAGCAGGCTAAATGGAATATTAATCCATTTTTTTTTCCACCAGAAAAAGTGACATGTAGAGCGAATGTATAGAGTGACTTAGGCTGAGAGTCACAGCTACTTTAACTGTTCTAACACTGCTAATTTGATCAGGTTGATAATTTCCCTTAATTTGCCAGGTACACTGGTGAGAAGAGAGCCTCCAGATTTCTGCTGTTTTATGAAGAAGAATGAGAGGAAAATAAATGAATGTATAATTTGGTTTGCTCAGCACAAAACCCACATAGTATCCAGTCTACTTCCTTGGTTGTAGATAGGCTATTAATTATGTGCAGCAGGAAGATCCTTACAAACTGAAGGATGTGCCTGGTAGCTCTGTGTATTCACAACCCTGTGCAAGTTTCCTGGTGATCACTCTCCCACTCAGCAGCAGTACCAGCACTCCGTCAACATGCAAAACACACAGACAGATTTGGAATTGTGCCAGAATCGAGCAGCAAACCCCAAACTTATACCAGTTATCAGAAAGTAAAAAATATTTACATGACAAGGCCTTTTTGCAGCCTGAAACCACCCCTTTTTCGATGGTTTCTTACAGACCAAATAGAAGGCTGTACCCCCCACCAGGTCTGTTTGTATATATGATTTGAGAGACAGTTGCCATAGAAACACCCTGGCAGTGGATACACAATTTTGCTAATTTGGATCCATCGAGTGGCTGAGTCTCCATACCCTATATAAGCCCCCCAATGCACTGGAAAAGCGTGCTCTGGCTCTGCACAGCTAATTTAAGACTCAGTCATTTCTTCTCCTTTCCCTTCTCCATCTGTCCACGCGACAGTAAAAACGTATCATCACTCAGCCACCAGTAAAATGGTGCCCAGAATAAAATACTACCCCGATGAAGAGAGAAACTGCGAAAATGGAAACATCTCCTTCATAAAAGTTATTTATGTTTCAGAGAGAGCCAAAGCAAAGGGTTCCTTGCTGTCTGTTACAACAAACGAAACTAAAGAGCGATGTGAAAGGTAGTAATTAACAAGATGAAAATACTCCAGCTTCTCCTCCTTCCCTGAAACAGGACGGACGCAGCTGGGCCTCGGTACAGGTGCGGAGGTTTTAACCGCATAGTTTATTAAGACAGAATATTTAGGCAAGAAAACAGTGATCTTAATAAAAAGGATTTAAACCTGAAAGTCCTATCAAAGCTAAATGGATGCTGACCGCGAGGTGACCAGTGAGGTGCAGAAACTGAGGGAAGGGGCATTCATTAGCTGAGTCTGTTTCGGAGGTGGCTAGAAGAGCTTTTGAGACCCACACCCCAATCAGGAAAGAGAGAACACAACAGCAGATGAAATACACATTTCACAAATATATGGTAATGAGTAACAGAAAGAATGATCCAAAACACCCTCTTGTATTTTTAGGGTTTAAATTAACAACATCAACTTAAATAAGGGCCATCATTATGAAGAGATCATCTCTCAGTCTACAGCAGCCTCAACTAACAAGCAAAACATGAATATGCAAAAATAATGGCGTAGAGATAAACACAGAAACAGCCATCATCCCATCAGTGCAATTAAAAAGCAGCATGCTTAAGCTGAGGGAATGAAATGCTATCTTCACTGAAAAACAACAACAAACAATTCATGAAACTTAACTGTTGCAAAGCATTGGTATGGCCAAGCCCCATAGGAATCAAAGCAACAGGCATCAGGTGAGCAAGAAGACAGTAAAGTCTTTGGCAGGTGGAAGAGAAGTAAGGACTTGGAGAATCAGACATTCCCCAAAAGAGAGAGCAGGCAGAAACCTCTTTACCAGCAGGTTATCCTCCTAACTGCCTCTTCAAAATCCCTCTTAAGCATATAGCAGTGGCCACACTTGGAAACAAGGTACCAGACAAATGGGCAAGACGTTGCATCCATATAACTCAATGTCTTAATGGTCAGGAAAGGTGTTTGGTTTTCTTTCTACATATCTAGTAACATTTTTGTTGCTCAGGTCTCTTTTGTTTTTAAATAAAAAACCCCCAATGATTTCCATTTGCAAACAAGATTTATGCAACAGAAATACATCACTTCAGCAAAACCTCTGACACTTCTGCATCTGTGATTAAACCCCTCCCATTCCCCAGCAGCAGAACCAGGCTGCAGGGTGCGTGGACTGGAGAGCAGTGTGGGCATTGGGTGCTGCTCTCCTCTCTCCACAGGCTGATCACAGCCCTCAGCAGGGCACCCATGAAAAGGGCCAAAAGGCAGAGAAGAATGAGAAGAACCAAAGCTCCCTCCAATTCCCTGAACAAATGGAATTCACATTTGTTTGAAGACAGTAAACTGTAGAAAGATTCATAGTTCCACATCTCACATGCAGATCTGAAACAGACAAAAAAGCAAAACAACTGAGAAGAAGAAAACAAAAGCTGTGCAGAAGTGTTTGTCAAGCCATGTCCCTGGCAAATACAGGAACTGCAGGGCACTTTGAGGAGTTTTCAATACATGGAAGTGATAAGCTAGCTAGAGGCAAGTATCTCTAACCTGCCAATTCTCCCTACAGAAACTTCCCAGGAAAAAAATTTAAAAAGGTGATGTTGAACATACACATCTAGATCAAGCCAGGAACAATTATCTTGGACCATTCAAATATTTGCAAATAAATAATAAGGCATAAGTAGAGAATACCTGCAGGCAGGTATCCTGAGACCACCTTGAAAACTGCGAAGAAGCTGTGTTGTGTTTTGGTTTTTGGTGGTTTGTTTTTTGTTGGTTTTGTTTGTTTGTTTTTCCTGGGAGACACTGCATTTCATTCCTCCTCACCTGCCTTACACTGCCTTCCTCCTTTTATTATCTGTTAAAGGCTAAAAGACTAGCTTCTAGAAAGAAAGCCTCTCTTGCCCCTTTCATATGAACATCTGTTGCAGTATGAACAGTAACAACTAGAGCAATCTTTTTTAAAGTTTAAGTTTCACAAAGCCAGAATCATTTTCCTGTGCATTCACATACAGCTCAAGGGTAAGAGCTACCACACTGCAAAAGGAAGCCAGCAGCAACTCCTTGCCCTTAGTACTGGAGACAGATTGTGCAGAACAGTGTGTTTTTGCATGGGGCTCTACCTCCTCTCACAAACTCCTGCCTTAGCTACCCAAGCTCCCTGCTCCAGGTCTGTCCCAAGTGAAGTCGGCAGGCTGAAGACCCAAGACCTTGGGTACTGCTCATAAGGAAAAGAAGAAAGTAGAGCCATTTTCAGGGTGGCTATCTCACAAAGCTGCAGTCATTTTTTCCCTCTCCTGCAAGTATTTTATTTAGAGTTGCATATAGAAAAGTTTTATCATCTTTGCAGAGATCATTTTGTTAAAAAAAAAGTTTAAAGGTTCTTAACTAGCTAAAGAAAAAACACAGCTCAGAGTCAGTTTCACACTCTTAGAAAGGAATTATGCACAGTAGGTGTTTCCCCGTCTTCTGAACAA